CAGACAAGTTGCTGTCCTTTTGTTCTTCAGTCTAGTTGTGGAGGACGTCGCTTCACTGGCCCATGTTGGTATTATCATTGTGCTCTTCCCGGCTGAGGCAGATCGGTTGCCGGCCACTGGATGGCCGCTCACGCCGGCTGCCAGCCACTCACGGTAGCATATGGCAGCCCATTACAGCCCCACTGGAGCCTACGCTGCCGCCAACTCAGGGCAGCCTAGCTCCAGGTTGAGCTGTTGTTCACCATCTTAGCTTAGAGGGCAGTGTCACTGGCCCTCATGTGGGATCTAAACCAGGCCCTGCTGCTCAAAGCCGGCATCCCAAGCAGCTCTTAACCAATGCCACTCGGCCAGCCCCAGCCTTCCATTTTTATACACTCTTCTGCACTTTCTTTTCCAGATTTCCTAAGGACTTAACCTTTTTCCTTTTGTATATTAGCACCTCTGCTAATGCACTTATATACTTTTCTAAATATTGTTTTTAAGTAGGAGAACTGATACTTGCAATTTAAATGATACATTGGCTTATTTTTGTACATTTGGCTTATTTTAAACGTCAGCAACCAACCTATGTTGAAGACCCGTTTGCTATCATACCCCTGAATTCAGTTATCATTAACAGGATTGGATTCAGGCTAAATAAAATGAATTAATCCAAATATATTTTTGTACATGATTAACTGAACTTCAGGAGGTTGGGTCACGCTCTTTTCATGAAAATTACCTTTAGTGATAGTGAAGTAAAAGTTAACAAAACCAGGAAACAGAGTAGGCTTCAGGGCTAGGTATAACTATACATACATAGTTTTCAAAATGCAATTATATACTGGGTGTGAGCTAAACAACCTGGGCTTGAAGGCAGAATTAAGAAAACTAAGGGGGAGGGAAGTTCTTGACCTTTTCTCTTTAGCCTGGGAGAGGGATTGGCTGGTGGTCATAATTGTTTCAAGTAGCTTTTACACCATCTATACCTGCTTCATTTATATCTGAAGCATTCACAACTCGGTATCAAATCCCACTAGAAGGGGGATGAAGACGTGGATGGGTGTAGCTGTTTCAGAAACTCAAAATGTTATGGGGCATTTCACCCAGTAGATTGATTGTAGTCTACACAAAGCATCTGCTAAACCACTACTTTTACAATTGGGACTGAAGTGAATCAAACTAATGTAATACCACCCTGAACAATACGTGTCAGAGTTAAAAGCCTTCTCTGGTAGCTCAAGGGAAGGCAGATGAAATGCCTCAGTGTAACCGAGACAATTCCAGCTTCATAGCTGTTTCTCTTTGGCTGTTTTTATCACCAGATTTTTGCCTTTGGGGTCAAGGCTGACAATTTCTGATACTGGTCAGTTTGCTTATATAACATATAAAGACTGAAATGGAAGTTACTATTCAGGGTAGTCACCCCTCTCCCAGACAGTGCAGCAGCCTTAGAAAACTTTCACGATTTATGTATCCCATCTTTTGTGCCGTTCTTTCTTCTTCTATTGTAATGGTGTATGACTCCAGTATAACACAGTAATTTTTATACAGTATAATACAATACAGATTGGCAGTATTGACCATTTCATTAAATATGTCTGCAGGGTTTTTTTTTAATCAGATCAAGTTTCTTTTTATTTCTGACAGTGTTAGATCATGAATGGGTATGGAACTTTATCAAAGTATTTTTTTGTCAGTGATCATATGATTTGTTAACATGGTAAGCTACACTGGTGGCAAAGCTTTGGTTTTGACCAAACTGTATAACCATTATCATCACAATAACTGTTAAAACCTACCCAACAATTTGGTACAGGAGATTTAGTTCAGACATTACTAGGCAGTTCTTTCTGCAACTATGTACCAATGTATGAAAAATATATACACGTAATTTTATATGTAAGCTGGAACTTGGTTTTAATTCACTTAAAAATATTTCCATTGTAGGTATCACCATCTTCTCCGTTGGTGTGGCTTGGGCACCTCTGGATGACCTGAAAGATATGGCCTCTAAGCCAAAGGAGGCACATGCTTTCTTCACAAGAGAATTCACAGGATTAGAACCAATTGTTTCTGATGTCATCAGAGGCATTTGTAGAGATTTCTTGGAGTCCCAGCAATAATGGTGACATTCTGACAACTGAAAGAAAACGTGCAAGGGAATATAATGTATGTTATATTCTAATACTGAAATCCTATAGAGCATATTAGGATCTGATACAAAACTATTAAAGATGCCAACAGCTGTAAGCAAATAAACATGCTACTACCTTTAAAGCTACTACCTTCTAATTACAATTTAGACTTAACTGTTCAAAACACTATGCTAAGGCTTCATAATCATGACCCTTAGAAACTCAGGAAAAAGGATATATTGTGGATTGAAATCTTAAAGAGTTCTATTGTAACATGCATATTAAATGTATATATATGCAAATTGCATAGCTCAATAAAATCGGATATTTAGACCAAAAGCAACATTCCTTCTCTAATCATTCTGTACTATAAGGAAAATGAAATAGAAAACAGCTTTTAGTTCAAATATAAATATCTTGACCCTAGATGTTGTCTTAAAACCAATCAACAATAGATATTTAGTATACTAAAGTTATAATTATGGATATGGAAGGGAATTAGGTATGATTTTGTAGTGTACAACTGAAATATCACACTGAACAAGACAGAACTGTCTGGCATTTTTCTATTTATATCCCTTTATGTGTAGATATACAGAGGGTGCCAAAAAATGTATAAACATTTTAAGAAAGGAAAACTGTATTAAAATTGTAATACTCAATATTACCAATAACAAAAGGAATACAAGTCACGTTTGACTTCTGCAATTGCAAGAGGTGCTCCAAGTGGTTGCCATCAGTGTGCAGACACTTCTGATTACGGCAAATTACTGCTGCTTGAGCAACGTTGACCAAAATGTCCACTTGTACATTTTTTTTGGCACCCCTGGTATTTGACTTGCACTCTAAGTCATCCATATACTAAAAAAAAAAAAAAGTTGGTAAATTTTTACTTACCATTTATAAACATTTAAAGAAAAGCACATATTCAAATAGCAGAGCTGCAGGAAAAAAGTTTTTGACTAAGCAATAAAACTAGTGATTACTATTCTAAGCTGCCTTTTATTTTTCCAAGTGTCTCTCCCCTCAGGCATGGTAAAAATTCTACATTCACTAATTCATGCAGAAGGACCAATCTGCTTTTTTCCTTAAAATCATGCAAGACTAAGTATATTTTTTCTTTCATTCAATTATTTATTGAATGCCTGCTGTTTTAGGCATTATACAGCCACTACCAGGTTAAATAAATGCTTCTGGTTACTTGGTTCAACAAAAACGTTTTATAATTAACATTATTTTTAGTTAACATGCTTATGAAGTTGATTCCTAAGTTGATCAGAATTCTATTAATGTAATTATCATTACCGCACCAAGAACTCTCCCCTCAGGTAGAGTTGCTCTGTCATGCCATCCTCTCTTCTCTAAAGATAGGGTGTGCAGGTGCATGAGGGAGAGGACAGGTCCTAGCTCCCATCACAAACTCACTGATCCTATCTGAATGGTTCACAACCAGTTGACCTGAAAAGGGTAACTGGTTGGATACTAGTTGGATATGAGTCTGACAATTTTAGTTTGTGTAAAAGGAATGAAAGGACTATGTATTGGAAAGGCATAACTGATATTGCCGTTGACACTAGATAAAAATTTGATAAAATGGGAGTATGAGAAGACAATAATCCCAATAAAAAGTGGCAAGTATGATGAATTCATGTAACAATTTTCATATAATTAAACAACTAAAATGGGTTCAACATGATTTTCCAATAGACCACAAATTCTCAGCTGAGAGTACCACTCCTTAAAAATTTAAACTTTAGTGAAAACCCAGCCTCTAATCAGTAGCCCTTTGAAAAATGCTTTTTCTTTAATTCTATAAAAGACAAAAGTTTTGAGGCATCTGAGGTAACCAGGGAAGCTATTACTTTGACTTAAAAAGTGATAGCAGTAATGAGCCCTTTATTAAGTTACTATTATTTGTAAGTAAACACAAGATCGAGTTAACAAATAAAAAGGAGTAAAAGGATTTTTAAAAAGATGTATTACAATCCAACTTTTGTAGGCATGCCTAAATTTCAAATATACTAGCTCATTTGTAACTTTTAATGCATTAAGTGAGTCGCTGGTCTTTGGTGCATAACTTTGAAATGAGAAAAGTACATGAATAACTAAAATATGAAAAAGGCAGAATATGATTATTGAGAAAGTCAACATATTAAAGTTTGTATATAAAAATATTCTTAAACTTTGTTTAAAGTACCACTTAATAGTCAAATAATCTCATAAATCTCAAATGAAAACACACAATGAAAACATTCTTGTTGTATCCTTTTAGTCTTTTTCCAAATGTTTAATATTGCAGCAAAAAAACAACCAAAGTAGGTAAAGAGAAAAAATAAACATATATACTAATTTTTATTCATTTGTTTTGATACATTCCAAAAGAGGTGAATGTTTTATGCATGCATTGCCATGATAATAATCACATTTCAGTTAGATAGTAATGCATTGGTTTAAAACAGCTGCCAGAAATACTAATAGCTTTGGAAAAACTTGTTCTTAAATTACTAAAAGAGAGAGAAAGACCGGGGTGCCCCTTTAATTTGTTCATTAAGTTGAATCTTCAGTTCAGAAAACAAAAAAATATTTTAAGAAAATTTCTTTAAAAGTTTCAGTGTTTCATCAGAAATGACAAACTGCCACTTGGATTTTTATGCTAGATGACAAAATTTCTCAATGTACACACACACGTAATTATTTTTTGCAGTAGGCATTGAAACAAAATTTTGCCACAAGTTTTCTTATGTTACCTTCTAATTCCATTTGCAATTCCCTTCAAAGAAAAAGGATGATACTACTTTGGTGAAGGAAAAAGTTGAGATATTAATACTTAACATTATTTTTAAGAATAACTTTTAATGAATGCAGTTTACCCTCTGTTGAACTTTTTTGTGGAAACATGTATGGCTAAATAAGAATGACAACACTACTAACTGAAATTCATATTTAATAAAGTAATAGGATGTTTAAAGAAATTATTTAAAATTGCATCTCTGGGGTTTTTTGGGTTATTTTGAATTATTTAACAAATTTATTTCAACAATTTTTTTTAATCCCTAAATACAATGAAATACTTAGAAAAGCATTCTGAATAGTGTTAAATTATTCTAATCTTATTAGAATATCAATAAGCAGTACAAAGTTTAAAAGAACAGCATAAAAATGAAGGACTCACTGAGAAATCATCATTTCCTAGTTTAATGATGGAGAGTGAAGTATTGCACTTTATTATTTAACACAAAATAATGTAGCCAACAGTAACATACAGGTACACAATTTAATATTTATTATATGCATTTTATATACATTATTTTGCAACAGCTGTATGTTTGCTATGTGGTACAATCTTAAAAATTTGCTGATTCATAGTTTGTAAAACAAAAACCTTACAAAACTCATCAAAACTCGCAAACTGATCAGAAAAGTTTTTTGGAAGACTAGAAAAAATATTTTATTGTCTTAATCATGCATTACACAAACAAAATCTTTAGTTACACCATAAAATTAAGCACATCTGAAAAAAAAAAAAAAACAGGGATAACTAGTCCAAACACAGCAGATTTCTGTATCCTGATTCAACTATTTTTGTATCCTATTTGTAATGTAAATAAAAATTTACTCCAAATATTTTTAAACAAGATAGTTTTGTTTGGAATCATGGTAAACCAAGATATGTATCTGGGGGGGGAATCACCTTGGTATGTAACTTAAACTATAAAATATTCCATTTTTAGTCTATTTTAGACTAATCAATGGTTCCAAAATAGATATACAGGTTTCTTTAACACATTAATAAAAGGATAAAAAGACCAACAAAAAGTGAAATAAATAATAGGCTATTAGCAAGATGGATAATCCTTGATAAATAAACTTGTAAATACAGTAAGATGTACAAAATATCACATAGTGATAGAATGCCAAGATTAGTTTTTTAAAATTTTTTTAAGAGTTCATTTGGAGTACTAAACCCCACTGTTTTCATTTTAATACACTTAATAGTCCCCGGTTTATGAAGACAATTATGTGATGAAGGTGATTTAGCATCTTATGGAGGACTTACTTAGCTGAGCTGTATTAGGCAAAAGAAGGAAAGAGTGTGGTTACACAGCAGCGGGTCAGTGAGATCTCTGTGTTTTAGGGTTGTATAATGCAGAAAACTTCAATACAATCTTGAGCACTGTTGTGACAGGCTAATATATAAAAAGACTTATAAAAACTAGAATTTTATCCAAACATTTTGTGCAACTAATGCTAAAATATTTTAAGTTAAATTTTCTTCTTTTTTTTTTTTTAAAGCAAAATAAGTTTAAAAGGGAATCTGTGGCATTCAACTGATAAACAGAAGATCACTAAGAGATGAAAAAACTACTCTTGGAGCTCACTTCCCCCCAACAAGAGCACCACATTCCTAACCCTAAGGCAGCACACAGAGTCCAAAATAAAAGTCCTTTTGCAAGATCAGACTCCACATTGGTTTAAAGACCTAAAAAAAACAGAAATACGCTCAGTTCATATCCAGTATAGGCCACAAATACTGGAGTCCTTTTATTCTGTCCCACAAAATACAGTAATTACAATTAAATTAATGAGCCTGACATTAAGATGTGATTTCCACCAATTGATGCCTGCCCTACATAGCCTTCACCAGGCAGATCACATGTAGTGTCATATCAGTAACCTTTTTTGATGGCAGTGATGCAGACCCTCTTTCTGTCCAAGCTAATCTGTAGTTATGATGCAAGCTTCTGTTGATTCACACAAATACTTTGGCAAGAGCATCAGCCCCTGCACTGGCAATATATGCTTTTGATGGATGGAAAGCAACATCATAAATTGATTCATCTAATTTCTTCCTATGTGCTGTTATTTCTTGCACACATGTCTTGCTGTCCAAATTCCACAATCTAATAGAACAGTCATGGCCTGCAAAAGAATAAATAAATTGTTACTGAGTAACAATTCTCTTATAAAGTTTGTGGGCAGTACAGGAAGTTCAGACTTACTTCCAGACATCAAATAGATTCCATTAGGATCTACTGCTAGGCTTGTAACAGCATCCAAATGAGCTACCATAGAATGGATCATTTTACCTAAATAAAACATAACAGAGAAAGTTAAGTTCTGGCAAACAGCTACTAACCTGAGAGATCTGAAACTAAAAAACAGCATCAACATAAGAGACAATAACTATAGCAAATTTTCTTATTGTGATAAAATATACCTAACAAAAGTTACCATTCTAACCATTTTAGAGGGTACAATTCAACGGCTTTCAGAACATTCACTGATGTGCAACCATCACCGTTAACTAGCTGAGAACATTTTCATGACCACAAAAGGAAACCC